TAATCAAAAAACAGGGTTTCGAATAAAATTCGAAAACTCTAATAATCAAAAAACGGGGTTTCGAATATTATTCGAAAACTCGAATAATCAAAAAACGGGGTTTCGAATAGATTTTATTCGAATGTTTTATTCGAATGTTTATTCGAATTCGTATTAGAATGACTCCGTATTCAGATTATTCGACTTTGTTGCAAAGCCAACTGCTGACTATCAAGCTCAATTCGTACGCGTTTTTTTTTTCGCAAAACTGGGTAATGCATCTTTTACAACCGTTATACCTTTGAAATGTATGGAGAGTCGCATTCTTCCACTGCTTGCGACAGTAAAAAAAATCATATGTGGATTTTAATTGATGTAGAAAATAGAGCAAGCCCTTTGCTTTTACACTGTTGATGCTGATAAGAAATAAAGTTAATTCTGGTGTACATCAGTCTCTTTCAGACTGAAGAAGAATCTTTTGGGCACAACATAAAAACCTATACCGACTGCTTTTTAGATCGTCCATAATGGGTAAAATATGACTTTTTGCTGATGTATAGACTAGAAGCCGACCGACAAACTTTATCGATTTTTGGGGAAGTTTGAGCTGCGGGGCTGAGAGTTGGTACAAGGGGGTAAGTGAGGGTGCTGATTATGGATAAAAATTTACTTTATAAATTTTATCGATTTTTGGAAAATCTCGAGCTACGAGCTTGGGAGTTGGTACAGGGGTAAATGAGGATGCTAATCAAAACCGAAATCTATTTTATCGATTCCAGCAGTTTTTGGAAAATTTTGAGCTAGGAGTTGGTATAAAAGATACTAGGCGGCTGATTATGATTGGATCGGCTCTAGCCGGATATGTCGGCAAGTTTGAGATGTGATTGCTTTAGTTATTCGATGAATCATTCGAATATTCATTCAAAATTCGACTTCCAATTTTCGAATATATTCGATATTCATTCATTCGATATTTTTGATTTTCCGAATTTATTCGAAATTCATTCATTCGATATTTTTAATTTTCCAAATTTATTCGAAATTCATTCATTCGATATTTTTGATTTTCCGAATTTATTCGATATTCGTTTATTCGAAATTTTTCCTTTTCGAATTTATTCGATATTCATTCATTCGATGAAAAATTCTCGAATTACCCAAGTATAGTGTCAAGCAATAACTACCGCGTGGGACCGCTTGACACACCATCTGTGTCAAGGCTTGAATTTTGTTAAAATGACCACTGCCTTGGAGAGAACTCACTCCACAAGTTTTCTTTTGCACTGAATTTAAGGATGACCTCTACCTTTTTTATCATCCTTTCAGATTTATTGTAGGTGTACTGTGGATGGCGGTATGCGTAATTATATTCCAAAAAATGTGAGAGGCCTTGGTCTCAGAAGACAGACAACTAGAAATCTGCATGGTCAATGTGTTAATGTATCAAATCAAGACTTACAATGCAAACTGCAAAATGTTACAAAGCCTTTTTTGCTCGTAGTCTTAAATAGATTATGGAGTTAGTGTGCACTATAACGTCTTGCAAAATCAAGGTCCTTCCAAAAAACAGCATTTGATTCAGAAATATGAGCAGTCCGATCAGGTCAACTGCAGCACTTTTTTGATAGTTTTTGACATATTGCAGGTGCCATCTATCTCGCATTATCGTTTTATGACGCTTTAGCGAACGGAACTGCATTTTGCGATAACAGTATCTAAACGAACGCTTCCTATTCGCGTTCGACTTTTCACATCAGCAAAAACGCGATAAATTTGTCGTGAATGACGGAGATTAGAGAAGCTGATGCAGTTTCTGCTTCAATGAATCATATATGATGAGAATGCGAAGATCAAAGGTCAACCAAAGAAAAATTGTTGAAAAAAGGAACGGAAACACTGGACCTGACTTAGAAGACTTTTTTGCTAATGAGGGATGCTTTACTAGTCGAATTGTCTTCTCCATATAGCATCTATTAGGTCGTTCCGAAAGTAATGTCGCTTTCTTCGAATGAACGCCACTATCCGTGGAATCAACATTCTCATGAGATCTTAGGAGCATTCGATGCAGCATTTCATCCTCTTTCTAATGGTTCTAATCTGCATAATGTTTAATGAGCTCTTGAAAAATTACCAAAATCTGCGACTCATGCTTTTTGCCATGGTTAAGTTCGGCTATCTTTCTAAATTTTTGTACCTAATCTCCGAAAAAGTACAAGTGGCAGGTAGATAGAGCAAACACTATAGAACACAGAATAATTTTTTTTCTTTTCCTTAGCTTGCTTCTCAGAGTTTCTACAATCAATTTCTCAATGCCATCAAATTCCATATTTAGTCAAGTCAAACCTCCCAGAACAAAAATCGGCAGGCGACTCGGATGTCATTCGATGCAGCTTTTTCTCCTCTTTCTAGCGGTCGTTTTTTGTTTCCGATTCATCAAGTTTTCCGGAATAAAATCATCATAATTCAACTTTTCCAAGGCACTCCAAGGTGTACCCGAAATTTTCGAAAGTTGCCAAATCGAAGCGGTGAATGCTCGTTTGGTTTGTAAAATTGCTGCCAAACCATAACCCATCTTTGTAAGTTTCAGAATCAGGAGACTTGTTGGCATTTGATGCACTTGTGTCTGAGACGAGCCTGCTAAATTCGCTGGTTCCATCAAAAAATCTGTACAAAACTTATGACGAGCTCTGGAAAGTAGAAAAAAGTTACGCTGTTTCCTGTAGGGTTTGCTCCATTTATCCATTACTTGGGCTCCTTCTGAGGTTTATTACAAATTTAGAAAACTTGTGAAACTTGGCCACCTCAAAAAGCATAGGTCGCAGATTTTGACTCTTTTCTATAACCATTGAAAAGAGAATGAATTGCTGCATCAAATGCTACCAGAATCTCTTACACATCTTTGTTCCACGAGATGCATACGTTTGGAAAAAGCGACATTACTTTCGGAACGACCTAATATATTACTAAACCTTTTAGACGCTGATATCAAATCTGCTTTTTTATTTGCAAAACAATTTTCTTAAAGAGTTATTAGCGTTTGAAAGTCCACATTTGTAAGGTTTTGAGTGAAATAAAATCAGCGGAAAAACAAAAACCCGGAAAGTGGAAATTAGTCTTGTATCAAGTATATAGATTATAGGAAAGGAGCACAGCCAATAGAAACCCGCATAAATGTTATTGTGGACTTTCCGCCAGTTTATCAGCGAGTCTGACAAATTTGGGCATTCAAATTTGGACATCTCCAGGGTCAAGCGTGGGGTGTGACACGCCACACGTGGGGGGTCGTAAAAGGGTCAGGGAGAGGGGAGGGAGGGGGGGTCGTTATCGAGGTGGTAGTGATTAGCGACATGATGATGTCTGATAGGACCATTGTGCAAGATACTAGCGCTAGTGTTTTGGCCTACTCGTACACGTACATTAAGCATATTAAAAGAATTCCACAACTTAAGATCATCTTTTTCGTAATTACCATGTCGAATAACCCTGAGGTCCAAGTTTCAGCGAATTTTGAGGTTTCCAGATATTGGGACAATCAAGTGAGGTTGTCATTTTCGAACATGTTAACTTTGTTTCAAAGTGAACAAACTACTTCTTTCTGCACTTAATTTGAAGTACTATTACTTCTTTGCTTAGGAATCCCACTCAACTAACTTCCGAACTCAAACTGAGAGCAAGGCAAAATCTCGTTTGTCCCATTTCTCGCTCTCAATATCTCAAACTAGAGAAGACAATCAGGCTCAAATCACTTTTGTAAAAGTTACGAGGATTAGGATATCGAATATACTTGTTCTTGCCGCCTTCCCTCGTGATTCACGTATTAGCGCAACATAGCATATTACGTAATCCAATATTTTCGCAGTGTTTTCTATTTGCATAGCTAAGGAAAAACGACTATATCTTTACTTAGGGAAATAATTTTGAAAGAAATTTTGCTATGTGAAGAAGAAGGTTTAGCAGTAGCAAGTATACAAAACGGACAGAGACTTGAATGCTTTGAAGGTAACCTAATAGACTGTGGCACAACCCCAAAAGCTATGGCTGCCACAGTTTTTTAGGGTTTGTGCCGCACCCCATTAACTTACCTCCAAAAAGAATTTTAGCGAACATAATATATAGTTTGATAGTTCTGTAGTTTCCATAAGAATAACTTGGGCTTGATCCATCTTCTTCGCTCCGAGTAAAAGCTGGTGAAAGCGCAGCTCTTGAAAGCGAAAAATGGAACGAACGAGATGGTTCTGCTTCTAATTCCATAGTTTGAAGGCTATTTGAGGCAGGATTCATGATAGGTAAATAGGGAGTAGTGCTTCGCATTGAGTACAAAAAGAGTTAGCTAATTCACTTTTGAAATATAGTTAATCAGTGGAGAATAAATGCTCAGGATATGCTAAAACCTGACCCATGGGGGTTTTTTGACATGATAACCACGAATATGTGCCTAATTGTGCATGGTAGAGCCTTTATGTCATGCCTCCGGAAGGCAGACGATAATGCTGGTGGGGGGAGGGGGAAGGGGAGGGGGTATTCGGCGCTTGTGTGCCACACCTTTTGCTCGAATCTGGACAAAACTTCTTCTGGAGAATTGTTTCCAGAAAAGGAAATTAGATTTTGAATCAGCATTGTATTGGTCTAGATGTCACGTGGAAAAGCCACTTCGACTAATAAGGCTTCCCTTGCAGGACATGGTTTCAACATGATGTTCTACCGAAACGCCACGCCTCTTAAGAATTTGCGTATTCGTCTGTTTGAGCGAATCGCTTGATGTCATGAACACCTTATCATTTTTGTATGACACCATGTCGTTATCTTGCTGAATTTCGCGCAGCTGCCAGTATAAATTTCCCGCAAAGAAGGCTCTATGTGCGTTCCTGAAGCTGATCCTCTAGCTATAATCACAAGCGTTTACTTAGGCGCATTTGATTCACTTTTTTTCACCATCTCTCGCTTCCTACAAATACATGGCTACACATTATTTAGTGCAATACAGTGGTAAGAATTTTGAAGACAAGAACTTGTTTTAGGCAATGCAAATGATTGAGAAGAAAATCGTTCCCGAATGGCCTCCTTTGTTCAAGGTTAGTAAAAATGGAATTCTTCTCAAATATCATCAACGATTCTTACAATTAGTAGCATGGTTTAGAAGCGTGAAATTCAAGACATGGTTCACGGTCCCATTTCCTTGTTCCATCCACTCGACCAAGTGGTAGATACAAGAGAATTTCAACGATTGCGTGAACTAAAACAACAAGGTGTCTCTTACTTTGTGTATCCATGTAGCACACATAGCCGTTTTGTGCATAGTTTAGGGTAAGTTTCTGTAATTTTCCTTTTTTTCTGAGGTCACCTACGAATTTTTAGAACTTATTGGTTAGCATATAAATTTGTGGAGTCCCTCAAACGGGATACTTTCCTGAAAATCAATAGTCAGGACCATCTGTGCGTTTGTATGGCAGCACTCTGCCATGACCTAGGTAAAAAGCCGATTTTGATAACTTTCTGTAATTCTTCGAGGAATTTAGGGCACGGTCCGTTTTCGCATGTTTTTGATGGAGCTTTTCGCCATGCGTCTGGAACTGCAACTCAATCAGAGTTTTCGGTATGTATAGTTACCAAAGACCGATTTCTTTGTACTATTTATAATACAACCATAATGCATCTGCGCACATTAGGACATAGTTCACTTTTTGTGAAATTGAAAAAAATAGTATGCTGGAAATTCGACAGCTATAGCTCACAAAACAAGAGGATTTGCCAATTTTCAAATCTTCTGCGTAATACCTTTTTGTGCGATGAGAAGTTCTCTACTCAACCTGACAGCAATTAAGTCTCACAAAATTGGAAAAAATAAAACAAATTGAGAAAGTAACGGAACTAAAGGATATCCAAATCCGTTTCATTCCTGCCACTAGACGGAAAAAGAAAGAGTACGATTTTTCGCGGAAATCATCAGTAGTGAGGGAAGATCGTATGGTTGAGAAAAAAATAAAGGAACAACCTTAACTGTTGTCTGATTAGTCCTTCTTCTGACCTCAATCCTAATGTGTAGACACATCTAAAAATCAAAAGTTTAAGAAGGTTAACAAAGTGAATATGGAGAGATACACGAAATACTAAGTAAGTCGAATGCAGACGAGGCGAACATCAATTTGTGACCTTTTCTGGAAGCGTCCACAATGTCTGAAATGCTTTAAGGGACTACTGTAACAAAAGTATTTTGTTAATTATTACGTAGCGCTGTAAAGGTATAAAGTAATGCACATCATTACAAATAAGCATGAATCTAGTATGCTTATTAAAAACTATGCTTGGCAGCAATGGTACCATTGAGTTTGAAAAAGTGAAAGATGTTAGGAAAAGTTTTCCAGAAGTAGTAAACAAGCGATTTAGCGCGAACCTTTTCACTGATCGAAGATCTTTTGACTAGCAATCCGCTAAGGTCTTTCTTCATTCACTCATTGCCCCCCCCCCCCTCAAATTCATATTTTCAGCATGAAAATCTCTCTATTCGTCTCCTACGTCGGATTGTCAGCGCGCCCAAAACGCGGGCAGCATTAGAAGTTTATCTGGGCGTTGGCGAAGAATTTCACAGAAACATTACTTTTATAGAAGAAATTATAAATCCAAAAAAATTCGTAAGTTGTTCGATAAGGAGTTTGCGAAATGAGGGATTAGAAAATTAGAGTTTCATCAAAATTCTAACAAGTCGAATTCTAGGATTCGGACGGCAATTGGCTGCCACAGGGTCGACCAGTAGAGAAAGCGTTTCTCTATGACATAGTTTCGAATAGCAGTGATTCGATTGACGTAGACAAATTTGATTATCTTGTAAGAGATTCCTTTCATGCAGGAATACCCATTCCATTTAACAAGGTGAATTTTTCATTGATAATCATCTACTTAAGACTGATAAAAGCTTTTCAGGACAGCATTGAACGGCTTATTGAAAATGCACGAGTTCTTCCTGACCCGGATCGAGGATTTCTTCGGATATGTTACGCGAGAAAGGCCAGTTCTTTGTCGTGCTATATAGTTGTTTTTCAAAAAAAAAGGCGAAGGAAGACCGACTACAATCCCAATTATTAGGAATAGAAGGATCAAAAGAGAAAGAAGTGTTTGAATGAGTTTTGTACAATTACTTGCAGGTAGCTGATATTCTTTTATCTGTGGGAGATTCACGACAGATGATGCACAATCTGGTTTATCGACATCGAGTTGTATGCGCCATTGAAACCTTGTGAGTCGTATTAGATACAACATTTCCTACTAATAAAGGTAGAATACCAACCTAAGATGGCAGCTGAAGGCAAAAGTAATAAGTGAGAAATGAATCATTCTTGTATCAAGTATGTTAACCACAAGGATGCAACACAACCGGAAGAAATCCGCATAGGTGCTTTTTTGATTTGTTAATTTTATGCCACTCAAAGCTTGTTTCAGAAGTACATACGCTCATAACTTTTTTGCGAGGGTTTTTCCGCAAAAAAGGAAAAGATTTGGAATCCGCGTTTAAGACATGTCTAATGACAAAAATCTCGTCTTCAGTCGCCATCTTAACATCTTTTCTTGTGAGGACTCCAATCGTCCAATTTGCACCCCTTCGCCAATACTTATATCTGCAACACACAGTCTCTGTTTTAGGGTGGTGAAAGCAATGATTTTGTCTGACGAGCACATCAAATACATGGGAGATGATGGAAAAGAGTACAATTTATCAAAAGTAACACAAAATTTAGAGGCTTATCTAAAGACTACAGATGCTGTATTGAGAGAAGTAAGAGCACTACATCGATTCCATATTAATTACTTCGTAGCTGGGTCGTTGACATATCCCTATTTCATTTTCAGATTGCAAATTCATCTAACCCTGAAATTAGTGAAGCGCGGAAAATTCTGGAAGACATTCATCGTAGAAACATTCCAGTCATGATTGCGGAAGTAGAGTGTGGACCATCCCGTGCTGAGTCGGGGGTAAGTCTGTCTTCATGATACTAAGAGTTATCTTGAAAGAAGTGTGGAACAAATACGTGACCAACCAGTAAGGTTAGTAATGTAGCAAAGCGAGTTGCCAGACCCACAAGGTGCAAAAGTAGTTGCGATCAAATATGTTTCATTTATCCGTCAAGTGGTGGTAAACAGTTTATCCCACCTGGGCTCGAAGCAGCTAAACACATTCCAAAATTTATTCCTCCTCAATGATTTCTTCAAGCATACTAAACTCAATGTGATTTTGTAGCTTTTAGCAATGTCAAAGAGGCGCGTGAAGCTTTGAATAGAAGTGGATCGTTTTTTCTCCAGAGCGCTTGGCTGATAGGTAGCGAATAGTCGTTGGACGGATGCCCTTGTCCCATCTAGTCAATTAGCCGAATGTTTCTGAAAAATTTGACTAAACGCCTATTTCAACCCTTTCAGTTTGAAAAATGACATTTAAAAGCTTCAAAGTGATTTGAGTAGTAACTTAAAAGGTACCAGGATGACCGAAAATCAATTTTGAGAATTTGCACGTCTTACACTGGACAAAATATAGTATGATCTCAACCTCCTCTTCATTATTTCCTTAGACGGAAAGTTTTGCTTTTTGGGCCCTATCCGTGAGTCGTAGGGAAAAAGTAGGAATGATTTTCAAACAGAAGTAGTTGTGATTAATTTCGTTTTCTTATTTCTGTGGACAATTCTTTGGTTGAGCGATAAATTGAAAGTTTGGATAAGAGTATCGGCATTGCGAAATTAATGCTAAAAACTCTGTTTATACTCACCTTTGTCTTCCTAACACTATGATCAAGAATGGTAACAGTTTATTAGTTAAACTATCGTTGAGATGAAATCACCTTTGTTGGGACCTTCGCTGAATTGAGCTAGCATCAAACACAGTTATACACAGTCAGTAGTTCACCATATAATTTAACAGCTTGATCGGCTGATCAGGGCGAACACAACAACTAAATCATGACAAGATTCACCAGTGATCGCGCTTTAATTTCTTTCATATGTTTCTCCCTCATGTTCAGGCAAAATAAAAGTTCTTTGCATTTCTCAACCTAATTACATTCATGCTTCCATTTGAAAGTAGGTATTGAGAATACTTATTAAAGAAATGTATGGATTTTGCGTGAGCAGTTCGACTTCAGAAATGATATTGAATGTTCTAATTAAAGAGAACAAATGTTCAAAATTTAGGATTCATTGAAAAAAATTGGGAAATGTGCATCTTGCTATTTCCACACTTTTCTTTCTAGAATCACAGTAGGTATGGTAGACGTCGTCCGTCTAATCACCTCGGTGCTGTATGTGCTACTGCACACAAACTTGAAATGATGAGGCGCTGGGGTCCCGCCATCCCGTACTTACACCAAGCGCGCGCACGGCTCAAATTTGACGCCAAACTGCTTGTTTTTTATATTTTGATGCTTTTTTCTCTTCTTATCTCCACGCACGGTCTTGTTTTCGATGACTTATCACCTTTAGACGTCGTGTATGCCGTTTTAGATCGAATACCAGAAATTTATCACCTTTTATTTTCAGGAAAAGAAGGTAGATGGGCAATCTTGCTGGATTTTGAAGTAGGTCTGCTTTCTTCGGTATTGTCGTATTTGGAAGGAGGAGAATACCTCTGAGGCAGCATTAGTTTCATTCCTTCGCACTGATATCGAAAATTGTGGCTTTTTATGCCAATTTCTATTGAGAAGCTTTTTCTAAATCGATGGTAGGGTTGCCTTTAGCGATTTTGGACTGCATAAGAGATACTCTACTCTTTCTACGTACGAAGAAAGCAGACTCGCGAATCCGGCAAGATTGCCCATCTGCCTTCCTTACCTCAAACTAAAAGGTGATAAATTTTTGGTTATCGTTCTAAAACGGCATGCACGATGTCTAAAGGTGGCAAATCATCGAAAACAAGACCGTGCGTGGAGACAAGAAGAGAAAAAAGCATCAAAATATAAAAAACAAGCAGTTTGGCGTCAAATTTTAGCCGCGCGCGCACTTGATATAAGTACGGCACGGCGGGACCCCAGCGCCTCATCTGCGATTTCATATTTGTGTGCAGTAACACACGTAGCACCGAGGTGACTAGACTGACGACGTCTACTATAGATATAACCTGATTACAAACTTTTCTTACAGTCTGCCCTGCAGAATCGGATTAGTCAGAGCCTCCGAGAGGAACTTGATGCGTTTTACGATGAAAAGAACATTATGGTTCTGGTGAGTCTGTAGCACAAGCGAGCTTACCAATTTTGCAAGAACCTGAGATAAAATGCTATGTATAGTGCAAATTAATCAAATTGATGTTGATTTTCTTGGTAGGTTCGAGAGATGAACCGTGGATTGGATGGTAGAACTCATCCTATGACTAGAATTTTGTTATATGATAACAAGGTCAATGATAGAATTGCTCAGCCTGTCAGCGACGAGTGGGTGAGTGATCGTGAAGAAATAACTTGTTATTTTTATATGGAATTTTTAGCTTCGTCTAAAAGCTCCACAAGAAGCTGCTGTCTGGTCCATCTGTTTGTACGGGTCTCGCTCTATGATTAATGAAGAAAGATCAATAGCGGTTAATGCTTTTGACGCTGTTGTGGCAAGATTCGGTTTACGAGCACCAGAACTTGAAGTAAGGTTATTGTGTTATGATGTGGTTGAATTTTGAGTAACACTTGATTCCAGAGATAAAATACCTTAACGCCTGGTGGCTAAACACTCAGGAGGAACCAATGATCGAAGCCAGAATTATGTAAAATTTCATATTCATGTTCTTGTTTTAACAATGCGATTTTAGAATATTTACCTGTAAACAAATGTAATAAAAATTTCTGAATATTATTCTTTACTTCTAACGTGGAGTTCTTACAGGGTAAGTACTACATACATAGCACTTTTTACCTTGATCTGGAGGCTTTTGTAAAACTCGTATTATCACAAGTATTGTAATGCCTATTGTGAAGGTCATATCTACATCTAATCTTCTATGAAAAATCGTAAGGATAGAAGTAAGAAGGTTTTGTACCATGTGGATTTCGGATGCTTCTATCTTAGAAATTCTGCGATTCAGCAGATTTTCACGTTAGAATTACATAGCATTTAGTGAAAATGTTAAGTTGAAACTCGTAATGCAGCTTATATAACTCATGACTTTTTGAGTATGTTGCATTTTCGGTGGTATTATGAATATTATTACGTGAGCAAATGCGATCATTCCTGGTAAACTTCGCCATCGCGTGCAAGGGTTAAAGTTAGGTTTACGATACAAGAGTAAAATTCGTAGATAATTTCAGATTTCCCTAAAATTTGGTCTAGGGGGTTATTTGACACCAGTGTGTCACCTCTGCTTCGCAGAGGCTCGCAGTGGCCCTTACTTTCTTTACGCTTTACTCATTTCCGCACAATAGTGACATTGAAACTCACCGCGCTATGCCGACTATCACGAATGATTTGTAAACAACTATTCATTCTAAAAGCTTTTCCATATGAGATCGGTAATTTCGCGTGAATGAAACTTCTCTCAAAAGAACAAATGCTGATTTAAATCGGTTTTTGGAGTTTTCATGGCTTGGTATTCGCCATAAAATACAATATCACCGTGGGCTACATCTCTGTGCAAAAATCTTTTCAAATGATCGGGTAAAATCTTGGCAAAGCGAACACTTACACAACCAATTCTTTTTGGCCCCGTTCTCGCAAAGTAATAAACTTTAGCTCAGTTTTTTGAGCTAAAGTCTATCGCTTGCACATTAACTTGCCAAACATATCCGTGACCTTGCAAAAAGTTGTGCTACAGGCTCAATTTTATGGCCAAAAGCCAAGTGGATCCGACTGACGCGCATTTTTTGAAGGATCCACACAACGGATCCGCTCGTGCTTTTGTACAGTGGATTCTCATGTAAGTAGCATGCGCTGTGCAAATTTTGAGCTCAAGAAATTCGCTGTAACTTGCTCCATGATTTTCGTGACAGACAGAGATTCAGACACACACACACAAACGTAAACAACCCTTAGCCCGTTATTATAATAATTTGACGCTGACTACTTTGACATGCTGAATCCAAAAATGATACCCATCTCACACGAATGAACCTCTTTCATGAAGACAAGGTGGATTTCAATGCCTAATGGCTAAATATAGAGTAAACTCAAGAAGGTCAACACGTTTAGGACCGCGAAATCGCGTGCGGCAAAAAGAGTGTACTTTCAGCCGTTAGCCTACAAAGGGACCTTATTTCGCAGCCTGTGGGCCACATTTGTAATCAGCATATCAGATAAGCTCCATATCCAAAGTTCTGAGTGAATTCGAAGTGTTTGAAATTTGTCGCTTGAGAGGGACTTTTGTGCTTTTTTGAAAGATAGGAGAACTCAGACTCTAATAGTATTCAAAAGTATCTGTGTTGTACACGGCACACATCAGTATTGAAACTACGGTTTTTCTCTTTGATATCGAAGCAAAGGAAAGTTGCGACGTCGCACGCGTCGTTCGCGTCGCCGCTCTTCGTTGCAACTTTTGTTCGATTTGTGCTCAATCTCCTAAACAAATATCGGCGACACAACTCTACAGAGTCATTCGAAAAGTAGGAGGATAGATCTTCAACTCAACAACTTTAGACTAAAAGGAAACCTCCTGCAAACGCCAGAAAGATCCCTCAAAGCAGCATGCTGCACCATGTGCAGCACCGGTCCGAAACGTAATGGTTGAAGCACAACATTATGAAGAGACTAGCTTGCTTACCCGGCTCCCTGTCAAAACACTGTAATAAAGTTTCTATCCCTATCCCTGTAAAGCCTTTCCTTGTGCCCACTTCTACACCTCATTTCCCGCACCCTGTGTTGTTTTCGAAATCAGCATGCTCACTTACCCCCCTGTGCCAACTCCCAGCCCTGTAGCTCAAACTTTGCAAAAAAAATCGATAAAAATCGATAAAATTGATATAGATCGATAACGAGAAGTAGCCTATGACACGCTCCCCGCCCCGAAGTGTATGTGTGCCAAATTTGGTCCAAATCGGTTCAGAAATAAAAATTTCTATTCCGCACATACGTACGCATAGACAGACGGACAGACAGACACACATTCAGCTTTATATATAAGACTAGCGATCCTACGGGTGCTAGTAGGTGGGTGGGGGTAAATGCATTGATATCTGCCATGAATTAATTGAAAATCCCAAGAAAGAGAAAGTTCCCAGCGACCTTTCACGTGTTGTGAGTAGTAGAAACAAAACACTATGCTCTTCGGAAAAGAAGCTACTACCAGTGACTATCCGCAAAGCATCTTTGCTGTTCCTCCTGCAGATACCTTCGTCCAGATACCACAGCTCTTAAACGAGGAAGCTACCTCCAAGCACCTGTTTAGAACAGCTGATTCATCCCGAAACTCAGATTAATTTCCAGGAAAAGTGCCATGTCAAAGGAAGCGTCAAATTATGTCTTCCAGCAGCCGAAAACTCAGATATGTAGATAAAAGCGAAGCAGCATTTTTTTCGATGATGTCTTGCCAGTGAACGGACTCATTTCTTAGAACAGACTAAAGCTGGCCCAACGTCTTCTTTTAAAGGACAATTTTACCGAAACTGTCCTGTCGCATAAAACCCTAGGTCTTTTCTCCCCTCGAAACCAAGCTCTTTATGCTTCCGCTTTTAGGGGCAGAAGTATGGGAAGAAGAAGAGAAGAAGGAACCGTAATTTTTCCAGCAAGTTTCTGTATAATTAAACCTTGACAACTAAAAATTTTTAGCGCAAATATCTTGCTGCCTGAGCCCTGAGTCTTTTCTTCCCTCAAGACCAAACTCCCTGTTTATTTTGCTTCTAAGGACAAAAGTGTGGTTTTTGCGAAGTTTAAGAGACCAAAATTTTCAGGGAAGGAAATTTCCTGTCGCGAGAAGCTCATGGGTGTGTCTTTCCCTCGAAACCACTTTTCTGCCTCCAGAGGCAGAAGTCTGATTTTTGCAGAGTAGAATGGCCAGAAGTGAATTTCAAACAAGTTTCTGTATGAATAAACATTGATACCCAGAAATTTTCAGCGAAATCTTGCTGGCTGAGCTTATGAGTCTTTTCCCCTCGAGACCAAGCTATCTATGCTGTTCTGCTTTTAGAGGAAGAAGTGTGGTTTTTGTAAAGTAGAATGGCCAGAAGTAAATTTAAAGCAAGTTTTTGTATAATCATTGACACCTAGAAATTCCTGGTGATCTTGCTGCCTGAAGCCATGATTCTTTCTTCCCTCGAGATCACACACCCTGTGCTTTTCTGCTTTAAGGGCAGAAGTACTGGTTTGCGAAGTAGAAAGGGCCGAAAGTTCCTGTGAAAATGTCCTGTCGCAAAAAGCTCATGGGTCTGTCCTTCCCTAGAGGTAACCCTGTGCTTTTCTGTTTTTAGAGGTACTGGTTTTTGCGAAGTTTAGGGGGATCAAACGCCTTAGCGAAAATGTACGTCACATGGAGCTCATGGTTTGGTTTTTGCAAAGTAGAATGGCCAGAAGTAAATTTTAAGCAAGTTTTTGTATAATCATTGACACCCAGAAAATTCTGGCGATCTTGCTGCCTGAATCCATGATTCTTTCTTCCATCGAGACCAAGCTCCCTGTCTTTTTTCCTTTTAGGACCAGAAGTGTGGCTTTTGCGAAGTTTGGGGGCCAAAGTTTCAGTGAAAATGTCCTGTGGGATGAAGCTCTTGGGTCCGTCCTTCCCCAGTGACCACTTTTCCGCTTTCAGAAGCAGAAGTATGTTTTTTGCAGAGTGGAATTGAAAAATTAATTTAGAAAATTTCTATATAATTAGATATTGACTCGTAGAAACTCTTAGCGAAAATATCTTGCCGCCTCACTTTATAAGCCTTTTCTTCCTTCGAGATCAGGCTCTTTGTGCTTGTGATTGGGCAGGGTTTTAGAAAGTAAAGGCGGGCAAAACTGAACTTATAACAACTTTAGGTAAATTTACCGCCCTCGTCAGTTCCGAGTGTGATTATAGAATTCTCAGCATGCTCACTTACCCCCGGACCAGTGCCATCTCTCTGCCATCCAGTGCGTAGCTTTAGCTTTGAAAAAAAGATGAAATCAACAAAAGCAATGGGTGTTCTCAAAAATGGTTACTATCTTTGCAGTGAGCATGCTCACATAAAGTTTTGTGCCAAATGCCAGCCGTGTAGCTCTAATTTACAAAGAATAGAAAAATCGACAGAAATAATAGGTACTTTCAAGAACACTTATTACAATCGTAATAGGCATGCTCTTTTTTCCCATGTGCCAAATCCGTCATGGCTTAAACTCTGCAAAAATTCGATAAAGCCAGTGAAGGTAATTGATAACTTGTAAAATAAGAATGTCGTGAGCAGCATGCTCAGTTACCTGCCTGTACCAACCTCCAGCGCCGTGGTTCAAACATTGCAAAAAAATCGATTAAACCAATAGAAGTAATGAGCCTTTTTGAAGATTGTTATTATATTCGTAATCAGTATGCTCGATCACCCCCTGTGCCAATTTCCAGCTCCGTAGCCTGAACTTTGACAAAAAATCGATAAAATGATAAAAATAACTGATAATTCTAAAAGTTAATATTGTATTTGTAATCAGCCTGCTCGATTACCCTCCTTTGCCAACTCCCAGCCCCGTGGCTTAAACTTTATTGAAAATTCGATAAAATGATAAAAATAACTGATAGTTCTAAAAACTATTATTGTATTCGTAATCAGCATGCTCGATTACCCCCTTGTGCCAACGCCCAGCCCCGTAGCCCAAACTTTGTCAAAAAATCGATAAATTTGGTAAAAGTAATGTATCTACGTTTATTTTCATAAAGGATCTTGAAACCTTCTCAACATCCATGATCGTGATCCCCTCTGCCAAATCCCGGTCCAGCTCAAATTTTGTGAAACTGATAAACTCTCCAGAGTGAAGCCGTTACCAACCTCCCACAATAACAAGTTTCCATACTGAAAAACGACAGACACGAAAACACCATCGACCAGAAAAACACCATCGAGGAGGTACAGACACTTATCCACCAACGTACATACAAGTACACCATTCGGTTTTATATGTATAGAAGGATTCAAATCAACATTCCTATTTTTACAATGTAATCTTGGAATGCCTGTAGATTTCCCTTCAGCTGCACGACAAACACAGTAGGGTGGAAGGATATGAAGACATGCTTCAGAGCGGAACTTGAGGAGGTGATTTACAATGCTTGCTGTGGCAAAGCTCAAATACACATCTATTTTTCTGTTAAGAAGCTTGGACAGGGAAGTGAAGGGCATGGGATAGCTGCGGGCCACAGGTGTATGTACCTCAGATTATGCAAATCAGAAAATTCTAATTTTAAGCAAGCCAAAAGAAAATTAAATGGGATTCTTGTTAAAGAGTAGTATAATTGTAACGAAAGGGAATTTTTATCGAAGAAACGGATAATGATCTTCAAAATTTTTTCGAATGAATGGATGTTATTCTTCTTCCAATTCTTACATTATTCGAATCCGAATATTTGAATATAGCCACATTCCAAAATTTGAATGAACGAATATTTGAATAGCTGAACTTGATTGAATATTCGACTGTAGGGCACCGGCTAGCTCCGTAGGCTTAGTAACGACCTGGGCTAATAGGTTGTATTATGTTGACTATAATGTTTTTGAGTTGGTGCCCCAAAAAACCGGAAGACTTTCCCCAACCAAGTTTATTACAAATTCCATGAATAACCAGGACACACAAAAGGGCAGTAAGCCGAATTACTACCTAGATAGGAAATCACTATATTGGAGAAAGTATATCACTACATAACTAGTGAGAGAATTATGGTATGGATGGTAGAAAAAAAAGAGGGAAGCACTGCGACAAAAGATGAACAACCTATGACGACGGCATGAGGCCCGATACCTTACAGACTTGAGCTCACATATTTATACTATTCCTTACTGATATTCCTAGCAATTATCAATATTGGATAATAGCCGCAATAAAGTGAAAGAGCTAATGAAAAACACATAAGAGTACTTCCATGTTTCCATCTCGACCGGTTCCATCATGCTGCTGATTATTCCGAACTTGTTACTTCTTGATTTTTATTTCGCATTAAAGATTCTCGAAAGTTCTTTCGCGTCTCCTCAAGTGACCCTGTCCTAAAAGCTACTGGCATTTTGATTCCAATTGCCCTGTGTAAATATAGGCGTGTTGCATATAAGTGCTTCGGAGAGTAACCATCCTTTACATCTACGGGGTACTGAAAGGTTGCGTCCCGCAACCTTGATGTGTTCTTCATTTCAGCTCTGGAGATGATCCGTCGTTAATCACGCATTTTAGAGAACATCAAAATATGGTCAACGAGCAATGGTTCTTCTACGCTATGTTTCTTCTTTGGTTCCGGCGCGCCCAGCTGCTCGTAGAAGCCAGTGATTCACCATCTTGTACGTTTTGATTGAACTCTTCTAAATTCCTCTTCTATTGTGCGCACTTTAATAACATGAATATCCATGCGGCTCGCGCCAGAGGCAAAATGGAATGGTTGCGCGGCCGAGAGTCTTGGCGCGAGTATTTCATTTGTAAAATAACATACTAAGGTGCCATTTGCCTCATACGAGTTGCATATTCCGCAGACGGGTAGACTTGCGCAACCATTATCTTTTTAGATGACCGCGGTCGACAGAGGTTACTGTCCCAATGAGTGTATGGGAAGAGGAATATGTTTGGAGGTAGATGGACAATTTCGATGCCTCTGCGATGAAGAACTAGACAACTGCGAAGGATCTCCTGCTAAACTGGTATTTGATCCTGGTTATTGGGTCCCTGTTGGAAGTATTGGTAAGTTATCTCCATTGTGGGCTCTTTACTGAAAGTTATGGCTACACTCTTATTTTACAGTTGTGCTGTTGATTTTTGGGCTCGTCACAAATCTTCTGATTCACTGTGCGTTAGTTCGTCGTCGTCGACGTCCAACGTCGTCACCGGAGCTCACCACACACATTCCTTTGCACAGTTCGGCTTTAACGTTGCCATTGGGTCCTGAATTTGAGGATATTCCATTGTAACTAATTATTCCTTGTTCCTTGCCGCAGCTAATTACCAATTGTTTACTACTGTCTTACAATAATTACAATGTAATAAAGAAATAACATCAACATTTGAACTTTTTTCTTCACAAAGAATGAAATATTACAAGGTCAAACTACACTATTTTAAACAACTGTTACTGTTGGGGAAAAATTATTTTTCTATTTGTTTTTTTTTATTTTCTTTTTATTTGACGGGATCTCCTTTGTATTGCTTCGTACGGTCGATGTGAATAGTCCTTTCGCGTTTCCCATCTAGAATCATGATGTTAGGTAGGTCGATGGAGATAATTGGAAATGGTCCCTCGAATCGTGCTGCAAGCTTGTGACCGCCGTCTTTTCTTATCCAGACTTTCTCACCTACTTGGTACAGCACTCGGGGGGTTCTCGCTCTCAAGTCGTAATGGTGTTTCTGTTGATTCTGCGCTTTTGAAAGATTCAAAAAGACATGTTGGTACGTATCCTTCAAGATCTTGATAAGATTATCCACGTAATCCTCTGTATCTGCGTATTTCTTTGTTGGTAGTTGGAGCGCTAGCTGAAAAATGTTCGTCGGATGGTGGCCATGAACAAGGAAAAATGGACTGTATTTGGTTGAAGCATTTTCCGCGCTATTGCAGGCATGTGCCACAAGGTGGAGGACATTGTCCCAGCTGTCGTTATGTTGGCGAGTAGCAATAGCGATTTGTTCCTCCAACGTGCGGTTAACGCGTTCCACCTGTCCGTTTGATTGGTGGTGATATGGGGTACTCGTGCGATGTTTAACATGTAAATTACGTAGAAGAGCACGAAATGTTTCACTCATATAATTCGATCCTTGATCCGTTATCAATGTTTCCGGTAGTCCAAATCTTGCCACAAAACGAGTGATAAAAATACGTGAAGTGGTATCAGCCTTTTGGTCCGGTATTGGTTCCGCGACTATATATTTGGAGAACGAATCTATGAACACGATGATATATTTGTTTCCATCCATTGTTAACGGTAAAGGGCCGATTACGTCTGAATGCACTCGTTGCCATGGTTTGGTAGGTATCTCGAATGTGCGTAGTGGTTCTCTTATTCTGTAAGCGCTCGGATCCTTCCGTGCTTGACATAGTTCGCATTTGTTAATGAAACTCGCGATATCCTTGCGCATGTTGTTCCAGATAGCGATTTTCTCGACGGCGGCGTGAGTTTTGCTGATTCCCAAATGTGCCATCGCTAATTGAGATTGGTGTGCCAGGGCGATAATGTCATTCTTGACCTGGGACGATTCTGGTAGGACTACTTGAGGATCTCGATATAGGCAGTTTGGCAATTTATAAAGAATGTTATTTATAAGCAAATAGTTAGATACTTCCGCGGTGTCTTCATTGTTTGCCAGAGCTGTCTTAATCCTCGCGATCCATGTGCACTCATCCTGCTCCTTGCGTATAACGTCTAGCTGAATATTATCGTTCGTTACCGATGTGATAGCGTTTGCGACTGATGGTAGATGTCGAGATAGCGCGTCGCATACTGCATTCTTCTTTCCTGGACGGTAAATGATGTCGACGTCGAATTCTTGCAATACAATCTGGTATTTCGCCAATCTTCCAGTGAGGTCTTTCCTATGAAGTAATGCTTTGAGAGGTGCATGGTCAGTAATGACAGTACATTTGGCTCCATCTATGTACGGTCGGAACTTTTGCACTGCGTAAATCAGACCCAATGCCTCAAGCTCTATTGCCGGATATCTTGCTTCGTGCTTATTTAAAGTGCGGCTTGCATAAGCGATTACACGCTCTAATCCATCCTGTTCCTGTTTGAGAACACCGGCAACTCCTTTCGCTGAACTGTCTGTTTCGATGACGAAAGGTCTGCCTAACCGCGGTGCTGCGAGAACAGGTGCCGTCGTTAGTGCTTTTTTCAGATGATCCATGGCTTCTTTGCACTGAGGTGTCCAATCAAAGGGCACATTCTTCTTTGTCAGTGCAGTAAGCGGGGCAGCAATAGTAGCAAAGTTATGTATGAATCTCCGAAAAAATGAACACATCCCTAGAAACGACTTGACTTCCGTTGCATTTGTCGGCTGTGGGTACTGGTCGATAGCTTCCGTTTTCTCAGGATTGGGTCTTATACCTTCCTTACTCAAAATAAATCCTAGGAACCTGATCTCTTCCTTTGCAAACTCACATTTAGATGCTTTCAGCTTCATTCCCAGGATTTCGATCTTCCCTAGAACTTCGTCAATATCTTCCAGGTGTTCTTCGGGGCTAGCTGAAGTGATGATAAGATCGTCAATGTATATAAAAACTCTTGCTTTTAAATACTTCTTGAAATCATCCATGACCCTTTGAAAGGTAGCAGGGGCCCCTTTCAATCCCATAGGCATCCGAATGTATTCGAAAGCTCCTAGAAAACATGCAAATGCCGTTCTTTCGCAATGCTCCGCCTCCAGCGGAATCTGATGAAATCCCTGCTGAAAATCAAGGGATGAGTAAAGACACTGATTGGCACAGAGATCGATGATATCTTGGATGTTTGGGAGGATGGATTGTTGTGGTTTTGTGATGGCATTGAGGCCGCGGAAGTCGATTGTAAAGCCGCAAGCATTTGCTTCGCGTTTCTTCACCAACACGATAGGAGCACAAAAAGGGGATGTTGATTCTCTAATAATTCCATCCTTCAGCATTTGGGTTATTTGTTTCTCAATCTCCTCTCGCTTCTCTAGCGGCACCCTGTAAATCTTCCTTGTTGGTATCGTCGCATTTTCAATAAGGTCTATACGATGTCGTATGTTTCCTCTATAACATCCAAGGTGGCCATCTGGTCCCACGAAGGCATCGGCATGATATCTAATGATGTTTCGTAGCTGATTCTTTTGATTCTCCGTCAGACTGGATTGTGATAAATCGATTTCCTTAGCAATGTCGTAATCTTGAGACGGTAGGAATGGGAATGTGGGCAGCCGAGCTTCCCAATTTGCCTCTGGTGGAGCTTGAAAGTTATTGTCGACGTGTGCATCTGTTGCGAAATCCTTGATATATGTAACCGAAGGGTAAGGAGGGTCTCCGGGCAGGTTAGATTGTGGCATTTGTAATTGCTGTACCCGTACTTCCGATGCACATGCAGGGTGTGCCACTGCTATCTTGAGGTTTCCAGGAAGTGTGATATGAGACATGGATGGATTGAGGACGTTGATATAACAGGTTCCATCAGTGTTCGGAGTAACCAGAGCTCGACCGATGATAAAAATGTCGTTCATTGGCCTGCAGTTGTCCTCAATGAGGAAATCTCTACACCTCGGCCAGGTGAGTCCTTCAATACACGCTTCTACCATATTGGTGGTACGTTTCGGTAGCAATACTTCGTTGGTGAGTCGTACCTCGTATGATGGTATTATTGCTAGCGTGATGTAATTAACCGAGACCATATCCACCGTTTCCGGTCCTACTCGTATCGTTTTATGATAGAGATCAAACGAAACTAGGAGTCCGTCTTTGTTTAACGCTCGAATAAAATCGGATCCTAAAAGAAGTGGGACTGGGCAGTCTTTCTCTGCCGCTACGTAGAAGCGATGATAGATCACGTGTGTTCCTATTTGTACTGGGAGACAAATTGAGCCCACGAGTTGTATCATTGTGCCGTTCGCGGTTGTTGCCATTTTCGGTACTTCTTCAAGTGGTCCTTTATCTCGAAGTAAAGAAAGGGTTGACATTCTTATATATGATATGGTCGCTCCGCTGTCAAGTAGCGCTGTCACATTGTTATCTCCAATCCTAACCTCTAGGTAAGGTAGATGTTGCGTTGCTTCCATTCCAACCGTGTAGATTCGAGGTACATAGAGTGGCTCTTCTTCGGCTACGTTTCGTGACATATCTACCATCAGCACGTTTACCGCGCGTGTCTGTCTTCGGTTTTTTCCCTTAGGGGTAAAATTCCTAGCGATATCAAACATTGCTGATGCGGCCGTTGATGTTGCACGCCTGATGAAGAAGAGCTTCACATAGATTATGCATGCAGCAGCGCAAAGCAAGACGATGACGAGAGGTACTGCAATCCAGAGTACAATGTATAAAACTGACCATTTGATATCCTCTACACCAGCCGAAAGCTTTTTAGTCGTTGATTCGTAGAGTGACGATAAAGAATGGCCTAAGGACGCACCGGTGTTTCGTATTCGTGCAAATGCCTGATCTATGATTCCCCTTTTTTGAAGCCGCAGGGCCATCTCAGCTTGTTCTTGTTTTATCGCTTCCATATATGGGATAATCGACGGAGCATAGCTGTCAAGCAGTTGATAAAAAGTAGGTGGGGCTTCAAAAAGAAAAGGTCTCTTATCACCATTGATAACAGTATTTGGTAATATTAGTTTCTGCGTTACGTTGAAGCGTTTTGGTAGCGGATAGGGGCATGCGATGGTACTCGATGTCCGTATCAAATCACGTGTTCCGGGTACGTGAAACCATAGGTTATTATCAATCATAACTGGCGTCAGCGTGTAACACGTCCCATCAACCGTATGGTTGTTGTAAACAAATGTAGGCGTCACTTGACGACATTTTGTGATCAGGAGATGGTCAGCAGTCCGGGCGGCCGTGATGTCAGTTCTTCCTAATAAAATCCTAGCAGCCCATGTGGGATCCACAGCGCTCAGAGCACGTATGCGCTGCGCTCCTAGGAACTGTTTAGCGCAAATGTTGTTGAACTGACGTCGCGCAGCAAAATTTTGTGGAGATATGCTTTCCGTATTGGGTGATTGCGTCGAAAGCATTGATCGAATATTAGTGAAGGTCACAGCTTCTGGTGTTGTTGAAACGTCTATCTTCTTCGCCGTTGTTGGTATAACCATCGTCGTAGTAGGTATAATCGAGGATAATACCGAATCCATCACTGAGACAGTGGATAATACTGAGTCTACGACTGGTATAGTCCAATCCATAGAAACAAATCTCGTTGTTCTTGTCAAGATTTCTTGCGGGTAAGGAGTTGGAGTTGAGGTTTCGGATCGTGTTATCATTTGTAGAGTAGGCAAAGGTGTATGATAATACACTTCCGTCACTGTAGGCGAAGTGATAAAAGAAGTAGTTGTTGATGGTGCTGTTGAAGATACATGGATATGTTGATATTTCTTCGGTGTTATCGTACTCGATAATTGAGGCAATTTTGTCGTTGTGACAATTCCAATGGTTATATTAAGAGAAGTACCTTTTATAAAAGGTTTGGTGGTCGGACTGCTAGACTTTTCAGTTGTTAGTGGCTTCCTTGTTGTTCTGCTTGTTGTCGTCCTCGAGGTCGTGGTTGTAAATCGTGTGATTCTAAGCTGGATTGGAGTTGTGGATGTCATCGTAGTTGCGGATGTAGAGGCTGTAGTCGTGAATGTTGTTGTAGGAGTTGTAGTTAAAGGAGTCGTTATGATTCTTGACGGGGTTGTGGTTGTGGGGCGGGTTGTAGTTGTAGACGTAGTTGTGGTTGTGGGGCGGGTTGTAGTTGTAGACGTAGTTGTGGTTGTGGGGCGGGTTGTAGTTGTAGACGTAGTTGTGGTTGTGGGGCGGGTTGTAGTTGTAGACGTAGTTGTGGTTGTGGGGCGGGTTGTAGTTGTAGACGTAGTTGTGGTTGTGGGGCGGGTTGTAGTTGTAGACGTAGTTGTGGTTGTGGGGCGGGTTGTAGTTGTAGACGTAGTTGTGGTTGTGGGGCGGGTTGTAGTTGTAGAAGGAATTATAATTTTGATGGAGCTATCAATATAAGGGAGTCTAGATTTCCAGTCTGCGTCCAATGATCCTGGTAAATTGATGGCAAATTGTCCGGACTCCTTTTCCAAGTAGTCATCAAAAATCATCGAAATTCCGGATTCTAGATCCCTACGAATGTTATTCACTGCATAATTCGGTGATTCTTTCTTCGCAATCTCTGCAAATAGATGTAGTTGTTTCATGCGATATTCGCCGTACCGTATTGTGCGTAGTACAAGATGGCGTGGATCGTCGAATTTATAAAGTCGCGCTGCTCTGTTGAGATCGCTGTTGGTAATATTCCAGCGGTCCATTTCGGCAAGAATCTTCCACCATGTTATAGGTTGTGTATTGAATGCAGGGATTCGCCTAAGTTGCTTGACTCTAAATAGCCGTCTTATCAAGAGTGTGGGTTCCATAGGTACAATTTCGAATGGGAAAGAATTGCCTTGCCTATCCTTGAGGTACCGTGTAGTCCGTCTTATCCTTCGTTGATGGACAGCGCGTGATACGTAGTCCTGAATTGTGATTTTTTGAGGAATATCGGGAAAGGTAACAACGTGATTTGATGTTGTGAGATAACTGGTACCCAGTCGACAGTGCTTCGTCAGTTGTTCATGTAGCAAACTATCCTCAGAAAATTGAAATACGAGGTCCGGGTAAGGCAAGACTATGTACTTTAAAGTGATAAAAGCTTCGAAAGCTCCGACGTATTCGAACCTACATGACGGGGTGACTTCCGCTACTTCCCAAACGATCGTATACTCCTGAGTAAGACAAAATCCTTGAGTATAAGCACAGTCTTGAGTATCTCCCAAGGAACTAATAATGTGGTATCCGTCATAGGTGGCAATTTGCCCTTCCTCAAGTGTATATATACTGCGAAGATAGTTCCTTGTTCCCCACAGTGGTATTACTACATCATCGTCCTCGATTTCCTTCGTACTTCGCAGTCCCTCCGATTGCAAGACGAGCTCATGGTCGTGAATCTTTCCTGTTTTCCTGGCCGTTGCACATAACTCCTGTGGGATCGATACACGTCGTCGTCGCAGTATGGTCGTCGTTATACGAATACGGAGGAAACTGCTAATGGATACCTCAATAGCGTCTCTGTAACATTTCGTTGCGTTATACCACAGAGGAGTGGAGTTTTCCGTGAATAGTTGTATTGTAGTTCGTAACATGGAAGCATTTGCCGGCGTTGTACAGTCGATTGTTTCTGGAAGTGAAAAGACATTTGAGTACGGGTTTGTACCGCATATCTGGTACTCCGCCATTATGCCGCTGCACATAACCAATGTCATTATACATAACAAGTGCGCTCCTGGGGTATAAGCGTTCATACTTCTCGCGAAGCTATTTGACTGTTGTTGAAATGTTGAATCGCCAAATGATGAATTCCGTGGGCAATGCGGGCATGTCCCACAATTACAGCTCCTCGTCCTTTGCCCTAATACGTTCGCTCGACCATTGAATGTCGTACGATTAGTGAAAGTCAAAGGGCGTTGGCGTTGGAGGAATGGAGGTCGTCTGAAATAATGGCCACGCTGATTAAAAAAAGGTTTTATGGGTGATCGCATCATCCTCTGTCCTTGTTTGTTTTTGTACTGACTAG